AGCTCAGGCCAGTGTTCTAGCTACAGTCCATATGCATCTGGATCAGGTCAGTCTTCCAGCTACAGTCATAATGTGTGTAATTCAGGGCAATCGTCTTGTCATGGTCAGCAAGGATCTCACTCAGGTCCATCTTCTGGGTCTGATCAATGTGCATCAGGATTAGGGCTCTCTTCTAGTTGTAGCAGCCAAAGATCTAGATCAGGTCAGTCATCTATCTGTAACCAACAAGGATCTAGTGAAAGTCATTCTTCTAGCTGTGATGAATATGGATCTTGTTCAAGACAGTCATCTAGCTGTAGCCAACAAGGAAGATGTAGGTCAAGTTCACGTGAATCTTGTGACAATAAACCTTGTGTAGGTTCCAACCCCAATCAATCAGGAAGAAATTGTCAGGAATGGCCAGGGAATTACCAAAAAGAGGGAAGTACAAGCCACAGTCTATCAGGTAATGAGTCTAATTGTCATGAGAGTATTCATGGACCATCAGGAGTATGTAGACAACAACACCAAGAATTTGGCCAGGGTCAGTGGGAATCTAACTGTGGTCATTCAATCTGTGGTGAAGGACAATCAGGAAGAAGTTATGAACAAGTAGAAAGTTCCTCAAGTTGTAGTTATGGACAATCTATACCCTGCTATGGCCAGTCTGGACCCAATACATTTTTAACTAACAATGAACTATATAGACATTGTAGATATATGAAAGAAAGTAATTGTGGAAGAGGAAGTACAGGCCCAAGTTCCCACAGCTTCTGTAGTAGCACTCCACTCTATAAGTATGTCCAAGAGCAGAGGTGCTATTTCTAGGGAGGAATAATGGATATAAGTGAAATTAACTCAAATAATGCCTAAGGAAATTAGAAATGTCTACATATACACAATACATCATCAACTTTCTAAAAATAAATATGTTTCTATTCTTTTTCTTTTAAACTATATTTCTTGTTATTGACTGTCTTTCAATGAATGTAAGGTATTTGGAGCGGGGCTTCTTTATTAGGTAATATTGGGTTGCATAAATATTGGTGTGACTAAATTTGGAAAATAATGCAAAGCATTTTAAGACCTTGGGGTATTGTTGGGATGTCTTGCTGAAAGCTTATTCATTAAGAGAATGCCAAAACTAAGTTTGCATTTCTAAAGTGGAAAAAATGATAAATACATTGCCAGTATTAGAACCAAAGCTTTCTGTTACAGCAATATATACCACAATTTTGGCATGCCATATATTGAATGGTGGCTGAGAGAAGACCCTGAAAGAAAAGATGCAGCTTTAGTCATTTCTTTGATTATCAAAACCTTCATATTTCTATTCTAGGTGAATCTTTATTCAGTAAACTAGCAAGTAGCATTAGAAATTACCACCAGGTGCTTCTTCCTAGTCAGTGAGTAAAGGCGTTGTTTCTTTGCAACCAGGAATGAACCAGTGTTGGACCAAAGAATTTCAGTTTGGGTGGGCTCTGGCTTGGTTCCAGCAAGAAAACTAGACCCTTACGCTCAAGAATATGCTCCAGTTTGGAAAACTTTTGAAGAGTAATAGCAAAGCAATACCATATTCCGTCTTACTTTTGTAATTCAATGGCATTTTTACATGAAAATATCATCCATGTCCATTGCTGCAAAGTGTCTGGGTTTGACTGTAACATATTTGTTTCAAGTCTTTGGATTTTAACAACTGGAGTGTATTTAAATTGACAATAAATGAGTGGTGACCAAACAATGGGGTTGGTTTCATCTCTGCTTCATTTTCACATCGCACGCAGGTGGCAACTGTGAAACTAACCCCAATGGCTCTTCTTCAAGATACCTATTGTTCATAGGCAATCCAGATACAACGTACAAAGAATTTTAAAACTCGGAAGTAAAATAAACAACTCAATTTTTAAAATTAGCAAAAGATTTGGATGCATACCTCACCAAAGAAGATGCACAAATGACCAATTAAGCAATGAAAGGGTATTTGATACCATTAATTCTTAGGAAAATGCAAATTAAAACAATGAAATACAATTACAGGTCCATTAAACAAACACACACACAAACACACACACAACCCCTCTGTCATCCAGTCAATTTCAACTCATATGACAGAACTGTCCCACCAGCAGAAAATGTTTAAGGGAGTATAATTCCTTGTCTTTCTCCCTCGGAGCAATTGGTGAGTTCAAACCAATGACACTCCGGTTAGCAGCTGAACACTTAACCCACTGTGTCACCAAGATTCCTACATGCTCAGTAGAATGACCAAAAGTAAGAAGAGTACCAATACCAGGCTTTTTTGCTGTATTTCTAGTATTGATAGAAGGAAAATAGAATGATACAGCTACTTTGGAAAACTGTTTGGCAATATTTTTATAAAATCCTTGTATAATTTCTATATGGCTCATCAGTTTTACTACTAAGTGAAATGAACATAAGAATGAATATGGCTCATATGGATACACAAAGACTTTTATATGAATGATTACAGCAGCTTTAATCATAATTTCCCAAAACTTATAACAGCATCAATGCCCACAAACAAATGAATGGATAGCTAGATTATTATACAGACATATAGTGGAATACTATTTAACAAAGTAAAAATAATAAAGTATTGAGTGGTGTAGGCAACTTAGTGACACTGTGAACACTGTTTTTCTTAAGGCTGGTAGCTTAAATTCACCCAGAAATCCCTGGGTAGAAAGCCCTAGAGATCTATTTCTGAAAAGCTTATTAAAACTTAAATTCTAAGAACGTGGTTTGCAAAACCCATGCTCTCAGTTAGTGGGAACCCTAACTCTATTTTGAGTGCTAACATAAATTCAGCCTCCATTGATTTAATTCTGACTAACAATATAAAAACTTTGTCCTCAGGTAGAGTATTTGAGAGTTGATTATTAATCCACTGGCCAGTCCACTAGAAGCCCTGGTGACCAGCCCACTATGAGTTGGGCTACGAATACAAGATTAACAGTACAAAACCACCAGCTGCTCTGAGGGAGAAAAATGAGCTTTCCTACTCCTGTGAAGAGGTACAGGCTCAGAAACCCACAAGGACAGTTCTACCTGTCCTTGTCGAATTGCTACAAGTCAAAATCGACTCTATGACAGTGAGTTTGGCGAGTCCAGGGAGGGGCAGTTACACCTTCAGGGACTTGCTTAGGCATCTGGGTTTGCCTTAATGGAAACTGGTGCACCAGGGCCACATAATCATACCCTGACCAAGGTGGTAGGAGGGCCCCCGGGCCAATCCTATAACCTTTTCTAATCTGCAATAATGTATGTACCCCAATCATGATCTCTTTCCTGCTGCTGTATTCCCACTTGAAAGAGTGATGCATTGATCTGCCAACAATCATAATTTTGTGGCAAAATCCTTTTGTTGTCTATGCTCTAATCAACAATCTGGCCACAAACTCTTTGGACACCATTATAGTCTCATGCTGATGTTGTCCTTCACCCAAATGATTTGTTTTGCTTTTGTCTTGTCTTCCTCCAGTTTAAGAATTAATAAAGGAATCTGTGGTGCAATGAGGGAGCCCTAGTGGACAGTGGGTCCCAAAGACAACAGTATTAAATCACCGGTCATGCCACAGAGGACAGAGGGGCTTTCTAGCCCATGAAGAGATACAGTCTCAGAAACTCAGAGAGGCAGCTCTGCTCTACAAGGTCACTACGAGTCATAGTCCACTTGCTGGCAGTGAGCTCAGTGGTGCACTAAGTTGCTTGATTATTTGAAACTCCTAGGGTTTCCATGAGTCAGAATGGACTCCAAACTCCAGTGAGTTTGGTTTTTGAACCACAATCTCTTACTTCTAAGGAGAATTCTGACTGTTCCTCCTCTAAGGAAGTTTGTTTGTTCTTCTGACAATCCATGGATATTTTCAATATTCTTCCCCAACAAAACAATTCAAAGGTATCCATTTTTCTCCAGTCTGCTTTATTCATTATTCAACTTTCACATAACATATGAAGTAATTGAAAATACTATGGCTTGGGCCAAACATACCTTAGTCCTCAAAGTTACATGTTTGCACTTTAAAACTTTTAAGAGGCCTTTTTCAATAGATTGGCCCAATGCCAAACGTTATTTGATTTCTTGACTGCTGCTTCCATGAATGTTGATTGTGGATCCAAGTCATACAAAATCCTGAACAAATTGAGTCTTGTATCCAATTTCATGATGTTGTCTGTTAGTGAAATTATGAAGGTTTTGGCTTTCTTTGCTTTGAGGTGTAATCAGTAAATGCTTCTAGTCTTATTCTTATTAACAAGCAAGTTTGAGTTATCTGCATATCACAGGCTGTTAAGGAGCCTTCTTCCAATCCTGCTACCAAATTCTTCTTCATATAGTTCAGCTTGTAGGATTATTTTCTCAGCATATATATTGAATAAATATGGTGATAAAGATACAACCCTGATGCACACATTTCCTACACACTATTATTTTGTTCTGGTTGAATGACTGCCTCTTTATCTGTGTACAGATTCCTCATGAGCACAATTCAGTGTTCTGGAATTCCCATTCTTCACAATGTTATTCGTAGTTTGATATGATACACACAGTAGAATACCTTTGCATTGTCAATAAATCACAAGTAAATATCACACCTATCCTGCTTCTGCTTTCAGCCAAGATCCATCTGACTTTAGCAATCATTAATTTTCATTCTCACTGTCTTCAAGTTGATGTCAACTCAGAACAACACTATAGGACAGGATAGAACTACCCAGTGGGCTTTGGAGACTACAACTCTTTACAAAAGGAATGGTTCTACAGTTGTCATATTGGCTTATGTTTTTTATGCTGATTTTCAATTTTTGTTTATCATAAATTTCTGTGCTGCTTGTATTCAAACAAGCAGCCATCTAAGTGAGGAATCAACAAAATCTGCATGGAAGAAGCACAGCAGCTTCTATGATCCAAAGATGGCAAAAAGAAAATCTAAATATGATGAGAAAACAAAATACAAATTAACCTCAAAGAAAATGTTTGAAGAGTTGTTTTACACAGCCTCAGCTATGCAGTCATGTGATTTTCAATCTCTAGTCCTCTCTTTTAGTTTAGTACCTCTAAGGCTTTGCACAGGTCATCATAAAGCTTTACTTTGTCTTCTCAAGCTGTTCTGTTCAACTATTTTTGCGTCATCATTTCTTTTATTTGCTTTAGCTACTCTACATTCAAGAGTAAGCTTTAAACATTCCTGGAAACTGGTGCCAATGTAGGATTGTCCATGTGAACAGCTCACTGTTGGATCACCAGATTTGCAGGTAAGGTAGCTGTGCTGGGGGACTGCAATGGGTCTCACAGCACCCAGACTTCCCTTTTGTCCATTAACACACAGAGAGCCCAGCTGCGCTGGTCACAGAGTGGTCCCTGTTCACAGCACCTGCCCTCGCTATGCTTCCCTTGCCAGTGCAGCAGCAACTCCCTCTTTTTTTCTTCATTTTCATTTTCCTCTCTCTTTTATCCCCACCCCTACCCCCCCACACTCCATGTGGCTCACCAACATGGAGAATTGGCTAAGGCTGTTCATACCTCAGGGGCATACTCCATATACCTGAGTGGACATCTGGAGGTGGGACAGTGGAACCTCTTAATTGGCAGAAAGAGGAGAGCTGCCATTGGTGATAATCCATAGCCAAAGTCCAGCTTTATAATAGATCCCATTGGTGATAATCCATAGCCAAAGTCCAGCTCCCTCCTACAGATAAATAGATCTGAACAGTCAGAGAGAGTCTGAGCACCGGGAAAATGGAGAGTGTGCTTGGAATCTGACACAAGTAGGTTCTAGGAGGGGGGTGGAGGTGTTTCTCTATACTGTTTTTGAGAAATAAATCACAGAACTCCTCACTCTGCCAGTGGAAACAGAACTTGGCATTTCCAGCTTTCCCGGCAGCTTTCCCACCACAGGTCAGGTAGCCTTTGGAACTGGTGCCCACACTGTAGCCTGATTGCCTTCTGAACGAAAGCCCCTCCTCCCTGGAGAATCCACTGTAATAGCACATTTGCACCCTAGGACCACACATAAGGAGCAGATAGTTCTGAGTTGTACAGGAACCCACTGTTATAAGAATAATAACAGAAACAGTGCACTCTTCCAAAATAATACGGAGTCCATAAGGACTCTAGTAGATTCATTATACCTTTCCCTTATCCCAACGGGGATAGCCTCCAAAATCGGTTCCCTCCACCTCACCAACACACAACCTCCTTTAACTTACCAAGTAAAATCACATCTTCCATAACCCTTTTCTCCAACTCATTAAAAATTACTTTACCTAAGGAAAGGCTTCCTACACTTAACACCACCACTTAAAACCTACTCCAGAACACCTAAACTCTAATTATCCTTCTCACCCAACTAACACTTCCTCCTCATCTATGCACAATACATTTTTCCAGTACCTATCTGATTCTCTCCTAACCTAAAGAGCCAGCCCCAGCCCTCTACACATTCCAGATGATAACGCTCCATCATCAGTTCATCCAAGAGGCCACACAAGAAACAACCAACACCTGCAGCTAGAGAAAAAAAAACTAGAGGGAAAAAAAGTCAATTAACTGAAGATGACACAAATATGATGGCTTACACAGAAGAAGCTGCCCTTGAACTGCCAGTGAAAGAATTCTTGAAAATATTGCTTAGTGCCATTCAGGAAATTAGGGATCAATCCTGAAAACAAATGAAAAAAAAATGGAATACTAGAATCATCA